GGCACGCGATTTGTTTACTGTTCAACAAGTACCACATCGGCTCCAGCTCGGACGTTCCGATCCGAACATTTCCACGTAATCCGAACATTTTTTTTTCGCCATGGCTAGGATACTAAACTTTTATGCATAATGCAATCATGATAAATCTATTACGTAACACAGATGTTCGATCAACACATCGCATGCACAGAATAAAATCATGCATGATGTAATCGTGGATTGTTACTATAAATTCTATCACATAGCTTTTTTTGTGTTATTGATGTCTTCAAGCCAGAATCAGAAACGGAAAAGTGCCGAAAGTGCAAGCTCTTTTGCCTTTCGCCGACAACCTAAGCGCATTGCCAAACAGGACTCGTTTGTTACGGACATCAGCGGTTCTAGTCTCAGCTCCCGTTACAGTTATGGCCTAAAGGATCTTCCTTCTTCAGCCTCTAAATTTGTAAAAGAAGATATGGACGCGCTGAACGCGACCTTCATACCGGCTACTGACGAAAACGATGTCATACCCAATGTTAGAGGTAAGAACTCAGTTGTGTCAACAATCCTTTTTGCGAACTTATACTTATAGTCTAAATATTGTCTAGCCACGAACTTTCCATACACATACCTTCTCCCAGACATCGGTCGTGATATTCTCGATAGTGCTACCTTCGATGTTGACATGATCAGAATTTCAGATGGACATGTCAAAAGTTTTATTCACAAACTTCACAAAGTTGTCAGAAATGCAGGTCTCGACATAGGAACGGAGGAGTCTAAGACTGACTCACTAGTAAACCATCTACTATGTCGCACTATTGACTTTGATAACTGGCCATTGGATGTTGAGTGAGTAATACTAAAAATTGTCTTTGTTATGTGCTCTACTGACTTCTGAAGTTTGCATCACATCCAAACCTAGACTCAAAGAAAGCTACAAGCTATCTGTTAGTGATATAAATGTCAGAGCAGTAACTGAATTTGCAATAGAAAAGAAAAATGTTGCTATGACGATTGTTGAGGTTTGTGTGTTAGGATTCTTAGGGCCCATATTTTTTGGTGACTCAAAAATCTTTTCCAAACAGGATAAACATTTAAAAAACGTTAAAGCAATGACTGACTTCGGGGAAGCACAAATGCTTGCTGAAATACTTGCTGTGGCCAGTGAAAATACAAGGGAGAAAATTATGGATCAGAATTTATTTTACTGTTCGCGTCATTTCAACTTATGTTACATTTTATAAGGCAGAGATTTCTAAAGCATATTTGCAGGAACTTTGTAGGGGGTTGCCAAAAACACAGTCAGTTGTAATTCGACGATGGCCTGGGCAAAATGGTTTGAGGAGTGGTTTTGACCTTGCACAACCAGATGGGAGACAGGCAGTGCTTACAGCATTGACCAAGATTCATCAGTTTCTCTTACAATAAAGTTGTAACATTATAGGGTCACTTTGTAATAAAGCATTTGATATTTGTCATTGCGCGAATAATAGAAATTTTGTGCGATCACATATGAACTTGAGTTTACATATGAGTGTCGTGTTCATGAGGAAGAAGAGAATCTCGATTGCACATAACCTCGCAATTAGTTCCATTGAGCAACGTAAGAGTTTTATTAGGAAAGTCCACTTTCATATTTCATTGCATTTTCCTGGAACCATGTATTACACGTAGTATCATAGATTCGAAATAGCCTTACTTCTTCGGGTGATTGATTTCTTCTCCGATAATTTACCCTAATTTGAAAATAAATTAATGATATGCAGTAAACATTAAAATGGAGATTTGGTTACCAATAGCAAATTCGAATTATTTTATTTCCAATTATGGGCATGTTAAGAACAAAAAAGGTATAATTTTAAAAGAATATGTTCACGAAGGACATGGTTATGTATTAACACAAATCAGTATCAACAATACTCGCAAACCTTTTTATATCCATAGACTTAGTTGTGCAAGTATTCACCAGAAAAAAGATCTTTTGTTAATCACATTAATGGAATTAAGGCTGATAATCGAGTGGATAATTTAGAGTGGGTGAGTCCAAAAGAAAATGCTCATCACAAAGTATTTCCAAATTCTGGTCGAAGTAGATCTCGAAAAGTTGTACAAATGGGATTAGATGGTAATATTATTCAGATTTGGGATTTGCACAAGATACACTTAAAAATTCATAAAATGCTATTTCAATGTGTTGTAGTGGAAAACGAAATTCTGCTGGAGGATGGAAATGGGTGTACTATGAAAACTATATACTAATACATCCTGATCCCAATGAAGAATGGAAAGAGATAGAGTTAAATTCAGAAAAATTTAAGGTGTCATCTCTGGGTAAAGTTCAATCAATAAATGGCATAATTACGCAAGGAAATTTACATTCAGGATATCTTCGAATTTGTAGAAGAATCAAAGATTATTATATTCATCGTTTAATAGCACTGGCTTTTTCCCCAAAAAAACCAGATAAAAATTATGTAAATCATATCGATGGAAATTTTACTAACAATAAAGCTTCGAATCTTGAATGGTGCACACGAAAAGAAATATACAACACGCTCTACGTATCGGACTTTGGGATGGCTGGATGCGACAACGTGCTATTAAGCAAATTTCAATAATGGTTCTACTCAAGAATTTCCATCATTAGCTGAAGCACAACGCATAACTGGAATTCATAGTTCCAATATCGGAAGGGTATGTAGAGGACTTCAAGATTATGCTGGAGGGTATCGTTGGGAATATATGAATTCAATGATACATAATAATGATTGATTTGTTTAATTAAGCATATAAGTACCCTTACTTCTTAAGTAAAATTACTAATCTGTTGTTATTCTTTATCATAAATTTCTACTTGCTCCCATTTACAATCTTGAGACAGGACTGAAATTATTCCCAATATATTGAGCTCGCTAATGGGACTGAATATTTCTGTATCGGATGTATTATCGATTTTCAAGCCTACTATTTTTGCTATACTCTCGCCTATAATATTACAATTAGCACCAGTATCTAGTATAGTTTTAACTGGTACTTTGTATTATGAAATAATGAGCTTTGCTCTAATTTCGCAAGATAAAATTCTCATAGTGACGCTTTATTATAACAATATATTTAATTCTACACTTTTAAATTCGTATTTATAAAACAATTTAACATTTACAATGACCAAAAGCTGATAAAGCTGTATCCCATATTATTAAACAAATATCAAATAAAAATATTCAGATCTCTCTTCGCCGATTACTGGAGATAGTGAAATCCGAAGATATTATAAACGCGATAGCAAACCCGGATATTTCTCGAAGAAATCATACACCATGCAAGGCTAAAAGAAAGTGCAAAGCTAGAAAAAAACTAATTTTTAATGATACCGCATCTGAGTCC